GAACACTCCCCGGGTATAAGAGATGGCCCTGTGAAAATTGCATCCAGATCGCTTGGGCGGTTTGGCCGCCTATAAGGAAGATACATAGATACATACATAGATAGATACATACGAACTCAAATATATATATATATACAGCACCGCACGAGGAGGAGACGATGGCAACACCTCACGCCGAATGCGCACGTGTAACGTTGTTTGGAGCGCGCCCAAGATGTGGAATACGCGTGTACGTACTATGCAAGCAGTACGCTTTACAGTTGACATTCGCAGCGTGCCTCATGTTGGCATGCACATACATATAAAAAATATCCGTGAGTATTCCGACTGAAATTACGGTTGCCAAATTAATTTTCATTTTTTAATGTGTATCAAAAACAGCAACAGGGTCGCTGTACTGGTGTCACCACCAATCGTGTAAACAATCGCAAATAACGTCGCAAAATTTCGACTATACTTGCAGTTTTTATGTTGATTACCACTTTTCGAGCAGATACAACAGGGACGGATTAGGGATGGGTGAGCACATGCAATCGCACGTACTTGAACCAGGATATGTACTCCTCTGTCATGATATGGCATCGCAGCTCGATGACCTCGGCCACGTTGCCTAGCAACCCCAGCATGTTACGTAGCAACTCGTCCTTTTCTTCGAATGCCTGAACGCAAAAAACGTGCGAGAACGTCAGGAATGGAATTACTCACGGAATGACGGGACTACGCGTAGACTATGAAACCTAGAATGACGTAGACTGTAGAAGCCCCTCGTGTTATAACGCGTGATTACAACGACTCCTGTGGTTAATGCGGCATGTTGAGGCATGATAGCGCGGCCAACTGACCAGTAGGCAGGAAGTGAAGAATTCCATTCCCCTGTTCTCTAGAAACTTCCTACAGTTGTCCGGCGTTTCGTCTGTAAGCAAAATCGACGTCGCGGCATTAGTGCAGTGACACCCGCTGTGTAAATTTACTGCCAATCGACCTTATAAATAATGCATGTTATAAATCATTATGCAAAGCATCAAAATGGCAAACAACGGCTGCTACTATGGGCAATATTTCAATATAACATTAGATATGTCTGTATGTACGACTAAAACACGTAGCAACATTTCGGCAACATGAGAGAAGAAGGCATGAGGCATGAAATTGACCTATCCAACTAGCAAGAACGAGAGGCAGTTATAACCAAAATCATTGCTGAGATAGGACGTTCTAAAAGAGAATGCTCATCGATAAAGTGCCACAAAGTTGACAATTCGCAGTGCACTTGTAGAAACACAAACTAGATAAGACACATCAGTGAAGGAGCGAGGTGCTTAAATCGCTCACGTAGATAGATCGAGTTAGTGATGGATCGTTAGAGCTAGCGGTTGGTCGTTAACAGCTAGTGATGAATCGTTAGAGCTAGCGGTTGGTCGTTAACAGTTAGTGATGGATCGTTAGAGCTAGCGGTTGGTCGTTAACAGCTAGTGATGTGATAAGTAACGTTAGAGCTAGCGGTTGGTCGTTAACAAGCTAGTGATTATAACGTTAGAGCTAGCGGTTGGTCGTTAATAGCTAGTGATATAATGTTAAAGCTAGTGCTGCAGCCTGACCTGTGACGTTCCACATGGTGCTCCACCGATCTCGCACAGTGCGTCGCACACCGTGTTTTTGCAATGGCAGCCGTCCCTCCACACAGCTTCAACATGATTCTGGCAATATCGAGCCAACAAGCCGCATGCCACCGTCGGCCATGAACAGCCGTCGCCAACGACGGATACATCGGTCGCTAAAACACATGCGAATGAGAAACGTGGACAACAAAACCATTGATGGCGACATCGAGCGTGTCGGCTATTACATCTCTGCAGTAGTCGGCATCATGTAAAACGCATCTGTGGAATCAACGAGACGAAATCGACAGACAAACGCAATACCGGCGAGCAAAGACAGCAGGCGACAAAAGAGCCAAATCGCGAGGATGCTAACTTATCTCTCTCCTCTCTCCCTCTCGGGGACTACGAATATAGTATATATAAATATCATCGAATACCACCTTCACACCCCAGCTCTCAACGCAATCGAACCAGTGTTCAGCGTGTACCCCGCTACGCGTGGTGGGGACAAAGAAAAACAAATCCGCGCTGCGGCAGACTATCTTTCTATCTATCTATCTCTCGTATCTCGCCGCGGGTGGGAGCGCGACAACGCACACTCGAATGCCGCCCTTAACGCCATGACGGTTGCACTGGCAGGTTTGTCGACAGCGAGGCAGGTCGAGACTGTTGAAGCAGGAGATGCTGGATGCAGATCTCTTCTCTCTATCTTCTCACTCACACTCTTTTCTCTCATCAATCTCACACCTTCTTCATCAGCTCACTCCCCCCATCTCTCTCTCTCTCGCTCACTCACATATTCTATCTTCTCTAGCGCGCTATTCATTTCTCTCATCGACCCAGCCATATTTTATCACACCGTCACACAATCGACCTGTGTCCGGATGTATGGGCTGCGACGCGCATGAGGCGCCGGCGGGTGGAGCGCGCAACGGCACACTCGATGCCAGCCTTAACCCGATGAGGTTGCGCTGAGCGGTTGTCGACCTGGCAGCGAGACTGTTGAGCGCAGGTAGAATGCTGAGCTGGATGAAGTCCTCAACTCGTCGTCGCGCTGCACCGTGCGCAGCAGATCTCCACCAGCTTTTCGTATCAAACAGCTGCAAGATGGTAGAGGAGGGGGAGAGGTGACGGTGAGTACAGACAGTGCTGTTGCTACGTTTACCTGCTGTACTGGTTAAGCGAAGATAGAGAGAGAGAGAGATAAGAAAAGAGAGAAAGAGGAAGAGGAAAGAGGGTCTCTAC